ACAGTTTTCCTGCTTAGGAGGAAAGGCAATGTGTGTGGTTTTTTTTTTTTTTTTTTTTAAGCAGTGTACTTTTTTCTTTTAGATGCATGTTTAATTGCATGCTGATTGACATCTGAACTATTTTAAATCTTTTTCCCCTGCAACCTGTCTTGCCTCAGACAAGAGGCATGGTATATGGCTGTACGCATGGGATAGGCATATATGAAACCTGGGGTTTACTAGGTCTGTCTGTGCAATATTTTGAGCCTCAATTCTAGCTTGTTGAGTTATAATAAAGCCATGAGTTATATTGTTGAAAAATATACATGGCCTGTGTCTTGAGAAGCATTCCACAAAGGGACTATTTATAAGGCTGTACAAATATGTGTGAAATTTGTAGTCTTGCAATCATAGAAGCTTTGTCTAGAACTTCTTTAAATGGGTAAAATGCCAAAACTTGTTGGGGTGGTGGTGGGGGGGGAATAGCCTGAGGTTTGATATGTGCATGTGTAGATAGGAGACAGCAGTGGGAACTAAGTTGTTCAAAGGGTGATTTGTCTGCAGAACTGTGATCAACCACTCTAGCAAATGTAAAGAGCCTTTACATTTAATTAATTAAATGTAGGCTAGGGGTAGATTTGGAAAGCCTTCTACAAAGTGCATGTTGAAAGTACCTATTAAAAATAACTCCTGAAGGTCATCTAAACCATTCTGCAAGGCATATTAGAGCAGAGCAGCTATTCTAATCTGCTGAATGCACGGAGGGACTGTTAATCACAGTAGTGAATGAAAGATCGCTTGTAAAATGGCTTATTTCAAACTAGAAATCATTGATCTTAATACAATAAAAGTGGAACAGTTGTACTCTGGTTCTGCATGTTTCCCACCCTTAAGCTGGCAGAGGGGGATGTGTGCCATGCAGGGGAGGGGCATCCTTAAGCTACTGAATAAATGCAGATAGCTCAAGCAAGCTGCTGGCTGTAAGTTGTAGTGGCTATGTACCTAGGGCCCTACTCAATATCAAAACCCTGCTGGGGTGGGCAAGGTTTTGATAGGTACTGGCAACCTTGCTGGTTGACAGTACTCAGAACTGGGCACTCAAGGAGCTTTTTGAGCCTTAAATGTTACATCTGCTCTAGGCTTACTACCAGAGCAAACAGCTAAGGGAAATGTTCACATGCTGACAGCACTTGTATGACAGTATGGTTGATGCACTGTTACAACCACTGCTGATCTTGTTCTCAGTTGGATGATTTGAAGTATGTCTCAACTTTCAGATGAATGCGTAATAAATAGTTGAAAACTCTCTGGTTTGTCTCTCTTACCCCTTCAGGAATTCTTGCAAAATAACCCCCAGCTCAGAGTTGAGCTCAGGGTCCAGGGTGATACACCTTGATGAGCAGGAAAAAGGTCAACTTTGCCTTAGCACAGCAATCTGAAAAAGGAAACCTGGAGATAGAGCTGACTAGTTGGTAATTATCAACTAAGGTCAAAGATATTTCCCTCAGCTGCAGAAGAAGGAGGACCAGCTTGTAGAAAATACTGTATTAGTCAGAGGCAGGGGGATTAAGCTCACATTTCTGCAGCTAGGGAATCCCTGCTCTAGCTCTGCTTCACTTGTTCTCCATTTATGCCTTATCTTCCCCCAAATGCCTGCACTTTAAACAAGTTTACTTTTTCTTTGCTGTTTACCTCCTGTGCTGCCTGCAATGCCAAGGACCAAGGGCATTTTTGAAGAGCAGCAGGTGTGGGTACTGCAGTTAGTTAAGGACTGGCAGTTTTGCTGCTCCTGATAGTGCTAGTTTCTGCCTTCCCCCTGTTTGGGGCGAGACCATAGCTGAGATTACTTCAGGCAGGGAAATGCTCTTACAAGTGAGTTGCAGCCTATAGCAAAAGTAGCACCACATCATCTGCATTGTGGAGGAGGCACTGGAGCTACAGCTGGAGCTGCAAAAAGCACACATTAAGGTGGTGCCAGGGCTAAGGCCAGTGCTTGTGTATTTCTAATGGAAAACATTTTAGATAAAGCGTTCTAGAAGAGCCTTGTGCTTTCCAGGGAGAAGTAATGTGAGGAACAAAAAAAAACCCCTTGAAGTCTTGCTTTTCCATCTTACTTTATTTCACTTTTTCTAGAAAATTCCTCCATAGTTCCACAAATTTAACAAAAAGTTTAAAATTCAGGACAAACAATCCTGTGATGTATTACAAACATGATTTTTTTTTTTTTTTTTTTTTAAATCTTGAAGTTAGTCTTGGGCCAGCTGCCTTTCTTACAGCTGAGTGAAGAACTCCTTTCCCAACACAACTTTTAAAATCCTCAAGTGACAAGGTATTTAATACCTTGGCTCTAGGCAGAAATACAATTAAAAATTATCTAGACGTTGAAGTACTTACATTTTCTTTAGGAGTGCAAACTCATCTCTTTAGTTTTTGATGGCTATTTCATGCCCCCATGAAAGCAATACCAATTGATTTTTCATCTTTTTCAAAGTAATACTCATACAAGGTGCACAATGGTTGTCTATAGCATTGACAGAAGCATGCCCACTAGTGAGTGCCAGGCACCCGAATTAATAAGAGAAGCTTCTTTTGAGTACACCGACTGTGCTATAGTGCATTAGAGAACATTACAGTTGAAATTTGCTGAACCATAGTGACTTAGGTCTCTGCTCACAGAGAACATGATGGGGCAAGCTCCACAAGGGAATTTTAATGTCTTACCATCAAATACGTTCAAGATCTGACAAAAACTGTTCCTGGATTGTTGCATCAATTTCTTTGCTCGTTCTGATGCTGCCACCGCACACAACAGTATAAGAACCGGTGGCTAAATCATTGCACTTCCATATATTCAGTCTGACCACAACAGAGCCAGTCTCGTTACCAATGTGTCCAATATTCTTCAGGCTGGCGTTCTGGGATCCAGCCAGCCTATCCTTTTTTAATAGTAAATGTCAGTAATCAAAGCCTCAAGGCTTAATACATATCAGACCAAGACAACAGGAAAGTACTCCTGACCCCTCTTTTGCCCTTTAATACAAAGGCCAAGGACAAAGGAAAAGCTGTGTCCTAATCTTACCTCCACATGATTCAATTCAAAGCAACTCTGAAAGCCTTCAGATTGATCATCACTTGTTCATGCCTTCAGTAACAAGATGAAGGACACTGAAAAGTAACAGAGTTCTGTCCATTTTCCTTGGAAAAACCATTATGGCTAGAAGTCAATTTTGTATTTTTTTTTTCTCCTTTTTTTTTTTTTAAACAATGCAAGTTACTACACATCCTCAAAGACCTGAAGCAATGCTAACAGCAGCACTGCCACCTCCTTCCTATTTTACAATAATCCATCCATGCTCTCAAGAGTGACACAAGAACAAACACTTTATCCACAAATACCTGTACATGGCATGTTCAGAACAGCATTCAGCCAGCCTATAGAGAATCTACACAGGGAACTCTTTCATATGTAACTAGAAGGGGACACAAGATGAGGCCCAAATTTGACCATTCTTTGTTTGCAGAGTCATTCCTCATGTGGTCCCCAATGCTACCACATACCCCAAAAAACAACAACTCTGTAGAACAACTAAGTACTTGCAAGAAACCTTTTAGTAACAAATCAGCATGTGCACACAGTGGAGAAGAACTATTGCTGGGGGAACAATTCTATTATTTCAGGTTTTCAAGGAGATTATAAACAGTCTAAAAAAATCCATGTGTAAAATACTTCTTATAAAACCAAACAAAATTCCCACCAATGCTCATTAGACTTCACAAATAAAGTTGGTTCCAGGACAGGATGGTGCCACAGCCTTGGGCGAGAGCCCCAGGTGCTTCCAGCTAAGTTCAGGAACACCCTCCAACGCTTGTTCCTGGACTAGCTGGGAGCAACACAACGATTCAGATCTTAAGATGAGAAGGGGGAGAAGGAAGGCGCACCTCTTAACCCTTGTGCCATAACTCTGGAGGCTACTTACAGTCCCGGGAGAAACGCTGTCAGTGCGGGTGACACAGAT